AGGATATAGTTTTTTTTTGTAATGGAAACAGAAACCTTTTAATTACTTGATCTCAACACTATTAAGTTAATAATTTTTTAAAGGAAAATTTTTTCCTTATAGTTAAAAAATCACAACCTTAATATATTAGTAGATATCAAATTTGTCATTTCTTTCTCAAGTGCTTTGTTATATTTGCCATATAAACGTTCTCATTATGTTATATCTTATAATCTCGTTAATAAAATTTATACTAATAATTAATATGAACTTGTATTAGAAATCTAAATAACTTTTTCAACATTTGATAGGACGAATGAAGTAGTATGAATTGCTTAATATAAATTTATACAAAAATTCAAACATTTTAGTCTTTTAACAACATATGTAGCAAGAACACATGTAATCGATAGATCATCTGGCGGCATCTTAAGAAAAAAAAAGTTTGGTCACAAATTGATTGGAACAATTACCAATTTGTTAACTTATGGGATGTTTTAGTTTTTTAACAACATTCAAAAATCTCTAATAAAGCTTCTTGGCCTAATTAAAAATTTGTTAAAAGCACAAACATTAATTTGAATTTTGATATTTCAACCAGATTTAGTTGGGATTCTTCCACCCCTCGTCCGTGGGTTCAGCTGGCGAAGGGGTCGGACTCTCTCACCAAAGGGAGGGGGTTCGATCCTGGGGAGTGCCACTTTGTTGTGGCTCCAGTCGTGGCGCTGGGGGAGGCATCTAATTAAGCGTAGTGAAGCTGGGAGATTCCTACCTTTGGGCCAGAAAAAAAGGGCTTGCTTGTCATGCTCCCATGCCCATAGGGACAGGTCCCAGTGGATCAAGCGTTCGGAGCCCTGCCCTTGGATCGTGGGTGAGCCCGACCCTTTTCCTAAAATTTTTATATCAAAAAAAAAAAAGTTGGGATTCTTCCTACTTTTTTATTATTTTTTAAAAAGTTTTTTTAGAATTACTTGGGGTCCAGCAAAATCTGATATTTGAGTGTTTACCATCGGATCGGACTGGCCATGGGTTGAAAAAGTCAAACGAGGTTATTCTGAGGATACTACTATTAATCATTTTACATATTTTCCCCTAATTTGTCGCGTAAACATAGTTCCTTTGGCTAAGTAATGATGGCACTTCTATTAAAAAGTTTGTTTAATTTTGTAAATGTAATTTACTTATTTTCAAAATTATCAAAAAAATTTATTTATTTTCAATGGACTAGAACAATAATATTTTTTTAGAAAAATTCATTTTTAATATGTTTTGAAAAGCTGTATTTACTTTTGGAAAAGAAAAAAAGCTATGTTTAATCAATTGATTTCTGTCCAAAAAAAAAAACAAATTGATTATCTGTTTTGTATGGAATTTTTTTATTTATAAACCAAATTTAACATGAGCAAATAAATTCTATTCAACCCACATATTAATATCTTTGTTTTCTTTAATAAAATTTAAACGATCAAGATCACTACATCTATATATATCACATAAAGCATAACTCCATGCAAAGCATGTAACCATTTTTTTTTTTTTTGTATTTTTGCCATCAGAACCATTTCAATTCTAATTTATTAACGACCGGAGGTAGTATTTAGTTATAGAGCTTTGTTTTTCTTTATCATCTTACCTGCTTTGATTTAAATTTGTCTATAATTGATAAATTCTACCTCTAATTGAAATAGGATGACAAGTTTAAGATATCTTATGCTCTAAGTCAAAAAAGAAAATTACAAATTAGCCTAATTGTCTTATATTTCATAAAGTCTGAGAAATGAGCTGTATAGTTGACGTGGTTGAAGGGTAATATATATTAAGTCAAAGTTTTTATTTCAATATATAAGTTATAAATTAATATAATTTCTATTTTCCCACCGAAAAGTTAGGGTAGGCGTAGGGTGGCTTTGTTATTCTGGGAGAGATGAATTCAATAAAGTGGGACCCCATAGTAGCTGTATCGGAACCTAACTTTTGAAAAAAAATATACCTTGCATGAGCTCAATTATCTGAATTTTTTTATCTAAAATTTCAACCTTTTTTTTTATGCCTCAGAATCTTTTACAAATCTCAGTTCAATTGAGATCCTTATCATTGTAGCCAGCCATATTTGGAAGGAATACTTAATCCTTTGTTGGAGGGAAAAAGCTAAGGCACAAAATCAAGTCATGATTAGGTCATTATGTTGGATTTATTGATCAACATTTTAGACTTTTTATTTTAATGAAATTAAAAATAAAATGAGATATTTTCTTTTCTATGTATACTTTGTCGTAATGATACATTTTCAAAATTTTGAGACAAGGGCGTTCTTATGATTTTGTTTTACATTAATTTACGGGGCAAGGCAACTACATAATAAAGAGTAGGGCTGAACAAAAGAGTGAAAGGGATTGGAGACAAAAAAAAAAAATAAAGAAGCGAAGAAAAAAATGAAAATAATATCAATATCAATGTGTGACAAGCATAAGCAAAAAAAAAACCCAATCCCGAAAAATAACCTATTAAGAGAGAGAATTTCTTGAATTTATAAACCCCACGATATTTGTGAGATTATCCAATGTGGGACTCATAACATAGTGTGAGATATACAATCAATGATATCATCTTCATGAATTTATTCATCTTAAGAATTCGCATGAAAATAACTTTTCAATCGTGATTTATAAAATATGAAATAAATATATAAAAATTTTTTTATTTCAGTTTACATAAAACATACTTATAAATATATATTCGAATACTCTTAAGCTCAGCTGCGAGTAAATCCTCAGAGATATTTTCTACCTTCGTATGGATTTCAATTTAAGATTTCACCCCTGAGCACCCAAGGCTCTCTCTCTATTAGAATTTAAGACCAACGCGCCACTCTTATTGGTTTATGAAATGTATCATAATGTGTTGGTGTTTAACAAACTATTAATAACGATGACTCATAATATTATAATCTAATGGTATGAAAACTCTAATTACTGTGAGGCGGTAAATTTGATTTTACTTATAATTTTATATTGCTAGCATATGTCTTTTTAATTAAAAAAAAGCTACGAATAATGATTAGGTTTATATATATATAATATATATATATATATATGAGTCCAACATATTTGCGCCGAACCCTGTAGTTGACATAACAGATTGGCACGAAAGAATCAGCCAGGTGCTGGCGTGCTGCAGCAGAAGAAAGGCGCTGCAATGTGAGGCCTTAAATATCCCCAAAAAAAAAAGTAACTGATTTGTAGTTTTTACTGTGAGAGAGGGAGAGTGGAGGGGGAGAGAGAGAGAGAGAGAGTATGTACGCATCATTCCCCATGTTTCAGAAATTCAGGCTTTATTACTGCAGGCCCTGCTTCTGCTGTGGGGCTTAAGTGAAGTGTGGAGCTTAAATACTCAAATCTATCCTATTTATTTTATAGCCCTTTGTTTGCCAACAATTTTAGTGATAAGAAATCGGCTCATAATTTATTAAATGATGAGTTCAAATCTTATTATTACTGTGACGTCCTTGTTGATAGCTAAAAGAAACTCTAATTTGTCGTTGTTGTTAGTATTGAGACTTGAGAGAGCATGCCTGGATATATTTTAAACAGGATTGCTTTCGATAAGAAGATATCTAGTTGAAAGAGAAAAAAAAAAAATCCTCTGTTGTTGTCGTTGGTGTCGGGACCATGAAGGACGAGGCACTGAATCTTGGCCATTAAACATGCAGAAAGCCACTTCAATTATTCACCTCATTACGTTACCTTCAACTCCACCTAACTCTATGTTTACGCATTTACTTCCAACTTTAGCCACTGCTACTTCCTACCATTTCTGCTTTTTGTAATGCCTCTTTACGCTTCAATACCCTGTCCTTTAATTTAATATTCAGATTCTCCTTTTGTCGCCTGAGACCACCAGTTCACTGTCAAAAAAATATCAAAAGAAAATTGGAAAATAAATATCTGAAAATGGGCAGAAAATGAGGAAGTGGCTGAATGAGAATGGAAGAGACTGGTTTCGGAGGTGTTAGGCAAATAGAGACAGGCTTTGGACCTTAGAAAGAAATGTTGTCATATGTATGAGAATATAAGATTACGATATGATGGAACATATTGATACGCTAAGGATTTGGTATTGTTCTAAGGTAGAGAAACCCCAAACAAGCATGGTCCTTGTGAGACTTGAGTAACTTTTTTCACGCGGCTTATAGCTCATGTCAAATGCTTTGTCTTATTCTGGATTCCCAGGTGGTTCCTCTTTGGCTAAAATTTTTATTTTGTTCCCGATATGGCTAAGGTTTTGTCTTTTATGGAAATCTGTTTTGTTTTTTCCTGGTTACTGTTTTTGTTTATACAACCGGAAAAATTATTCCGTCCCAGATGTGAAGAACGGGCCACAGCTTCCAACGACGGATCCATATCTTGCTATGGGCTTTTTTTTCATTTTGATACTAAGGAGGTGTTTGGTAAAATAACTCTTTCAGGGGAATGGGAGTTAGTTTCAGCAAATCACAATACGATAAACTAATATTCGAATCTCTATTAAAATATGTGTTCACATTTAACACTTGATAATACTTCAAAAAAAAATTGTTTCTAATAAAAAAAATATTGATACATAGTGGGAAAAAATTAATCCTTTTGAATATTACTATATCTAATCCTTAATATAAGATTTTGTTTGATTTTTATTTTGATCCTAAACATAATATCCCAATTTACTTTGTCTTTTATATTTATTTATTTATTTTTTAAAATAATCCTTCTAATAATAGTAATTCTAACTAGTAAACTTGATTAGTAATGATAGTTTAAAAAAGACAATAATTATTTTTTTAAAAATAACTAACTAAATTTATTTCTTTAATCTATTCAAACTAATTAATTAACCCTCGTATTTAGAACCAGAGATAGTACTAAATAAACTCCTTACATATTTATTATAGAAGTGTTTTTTTAATCTAACACAAATGGGCATTTTTAAGTTCATGTGGTCTTTTCCCCACACCTTGAGTGGAAGTTGTTTAAAGCAACCTGTTATGAATAAAGGAAAACTTTTATTAAAAGAAAAAATGGTGTAACATTTTGTGTGGGGGGAAAATGGAAGATGACGGGGGCTACTCCTTTTTCTTTTCCTTCATTCTTTCACAGGGAGCTGCACACTATAGATGTGTCCTTCCCTCGACTCAGCAATACATTAAAGGGGGGAAAAAAACAAATAAAATAAGATGTAGTATCTATAAATAAATAATAATCGAGGGATTCCTTGTAATAATGAGAATGAAAATGAATCAGCTGATCCAAAGTTTAACCCCCTTCTCTTGATCTGCTGCTAGCTGATAAAGACTATACCTTTTCATCGGATTCAGGTGAAACTGGTAGCGCACTATAATCTGGTGATTTGGTGGTGGGAAGTGACAAGCTGCGACGTTCCTTCCCTCCAGGCTTTGAAGAAGCGTTGCCATACCACATCATTCCCAGTATTGCAACGATCATGCCCAGAACTACTTGAAGATTGAGACCCTCTTTTCCAAACAGAAGGAACCCCAAGATGAGGACCAGAATTGTTTTCATGTGGCCGAGGACTTGGAATGTCACGGCTGTGAACCGGCCGATGCAGATGAATTGGCTGAGGTTTGTCCCTACTGCGATACAGCATGATAGGATGATGAAGAACTGCAGACACCAAGAACAGTTCAAACATCAGGGGACAAAAACATGAAAATGAGAGATTGCTGGACATATCTGGATAAATTATTGACACTTCAAAGGATGTTTCAAAAGAGAGAGCCAAAAGTTCAAAGGAATTGGTTGTGAAAGCGAACTAAAGCTAACAAAATAGCTGTGAAAAACAAAAGAAAACTCGTTTAATTGGTATATGGTTAACCCCATATACCAATTAAACGAAAATGGAAAGTGAGGAAAACTTACAGTGGATGCCAGACCATAGTTGAAAGCATCAACTCGTTTACTTGTCAACCAGTAGTCCACAAAGGGACCTAGCAACAGCAGACTTGTCGCTTGTGCTGGGGCAGTATGGCCGAGCAAGTTAAACGATCCAAGAGAATACTTCCTCTGAAGAAAATGTACATACTGCGAAAGAACATAATGTAGAATGTCAGCTTCATACAATCTAGATCATGATAACAAATGAATAATGAAATTACTAGTGCAATGAGCTACAAGCTACATAGGAATTTTATCTGGGAACCCTTTCCGGTCAAAACCCATATGTCGAAGAAGAAAATTCGTAGATCTTTAACCTTGGTCACTTCCCTGAATTATCACGGAAAATTTGAATGTAATATTAATTATAACTTATTTTTAAAAGCAATGGTTAGGTGATACTTTCAGTATGGTGGGAAATTTGAAAATGATGAAGAAATGAAGTATCGGATGATGATTGAGGTGTTTAAAAGCTAGTAGAAACTTACGCACGTTTTTACTATTTCCAAATTCCAATAGTTTAGTGGGCTAAGTGTTACATTTTAACATTCAAGTGTCAACGTTAAAAATAAGCTATAGTTTAAGGGGTCATATGTAGTTTCCCTTATTTAAAAGGATAAATTGGCTCAAACTTTCAATTTCATCACTTTGAAATCAATAACATACTAAATAAATCCTAACACAAGTTAGAATTTTGCATTTGTTTTGATCCAATACATCTCTTTAGTAAGATTCTGGGTTTAACTAAGTGTTACTTACATACTGCTGCAATGCGGTGCTCCAAACTGCCACTACAGCGGCTAGAAAACCCTTAGCATTGACGCTTACATCAGTGACTGTACAGACAGCGACACCAACGAGAACCAATGTAATGCTAAGCTTTGTGTCCCTTGAATACCGCACATTGTCCAAGACAACTTCCAGAAAACAAGATACTGGAATCATACTCAACTTAGCGATCTGAACATTTCAATCAAGAGGCAGTAAATATTTTGACTTCTGAAATTTGTTAGTGTCCAAAAACTTATAGTTCAACCAAGTTACCTGATAGAATCCAACTGAGTTCCACATCAAACTCACATTCATTCCAACAATGGAGAAATTGGCAAATAAAACAAATTTGATAAGATCGGGTAATGGAAGACTAGTGTTCTGGATATACCCTAGCCACTTAAGAAAGGTTGTCAACAAAGTTGTCATGGCAAAATGCAGGCCAGTTAATGTGGTAGCTGCAAAATAGCATAACATAGAATGTTATATTAGGAATGGTACAGAAGTCTTGAACTTATAATCAATTTGTTGTCATTCATCAATTGAAAATCATGATTCAAACTTCAAAGAAGAGATTTTTAGTTTAATCATCCATCTCTTTTTTTGCTGCGGTTTATGCCTCTTGTTCTTGTTTTGCGTGTGTGATATTTTTGTCCTTCCGAATCTCAAAAGCAAAACCATACAAATGAATAACCTTTCACATGTATCCCACGTCAAACAAAATTTATATAAACTTTACTGATTCTTGATCCACAAACCACACATAAAATATGATAAAACAGATTTCTGAGCAGTGCACATCAATGTAGAAACTGAAAGCATACGTCATTAATGTTTGGTTCAGCTTTACACTCTATCTCTCTTTCACATAAGCAGCATTGTTGTTTGCCAGCATTATTCATACATTGCCCTCTGGTCAACTACCATTAAGAAATGTTGCATGCTCATTGTAGATTGGTGGGAAAAAAGAATTGCATTGGACACAAGGATTCAAGGCTACGCACATCAATTCATTTTAACATGAAGCAGTAATTTCACTTGCACAAAAAGGATAAAATCAAATTGAGGAACAAACTCTTTAAAGTCTAAACATAGTTTGACATACATCTTTCATTATCCTTCTTCTTCTTAGTTCATTTCCATATTACACGTAGGTGGTTTATACTAGGACATCGCACAACAGCATCTCACTCACAAGTGTCAAGCAAGTCCGGAAGCCTAAGGTTTAACCACATTAAAGTGGTTAATTGCCAAGACAAAGGTGATGAAACGTGAAATTCAAACTCAAAACCAGCATACGTATTATGCCAGAGAGAAGCATAGAATTGATATTTGATTCATAGAATACATTGAAAAGAATCGTGCAACATGTAAGTACAGCTATGATCCATCAAAGATTCAAAAGAGGAATTAAAAATGGAAAGAGTTATGACAGGAACATACCAAAAGTAAAACCATATTTAGCCATCAGGGCTTTATTCACCATGATTATTCCTACAGATGTGACCACATTGAACAACCATGACGCTGCATCAATGGCAGCCTTCCTTTCGCCCTTGCTTGCAGAAGACATAATGAACTAGAGATCCTAATATGTAGTGTGGATTCTTCACTCGTCTGTCTTCATGCAAGGTTAATCCCTAAGCTTTAATGCCGATGGCCTTATCTGTATGGACAAGAAGATATCAGAGCTGATAATTCAAACAGCAATATTCTCTCACTGATCTGCTGCAAAATAGGCATGTCTAAATGTCACTACTTGTTAAGAAAATGTAAATTTAAATAAGTCCTGTAGAAAATTAAAACATAGTTTGAAACCCAATGGGCCATGAGTGGTTATCTCTCATATTCAAGAAGGCTGGAACGTTTAAAAAAAAAAAAGAAATAAAAAAGTATGAGAAGTATATGAAATCTGATCCGCCATTCTTGATTGCTATCTCGATCCAGAGGTGAGACAAAACCATATCCTAATATTATCGGCACCAAAATAACTGATTCAGGCATTATTACGATAATGCTACAAGTTCCAATCTTTTGGATCGAGGGAGGGGGAGAGGGAGAGAAATAGTACGAGGTCACAAGCATCAGGTCACGACCATTTGATACTGAATTACCATTAACTGCAATATGTAGTTCTAGTAGAGCATCCTAACATTAGCTGAATCTTAATAGTTTTAAGTCAATTAAAAAGTGAAAAAGGAAAAAAGGAGCCACGAAATCATAGCGAAACTGCACGATCTCCATCAGATCCAGTAATCCTATGTATAGTTAAGAACAGTAGATTCAAAAGGTCAGAACTGAGAACCATCAAATTGTCATGAATCATGATTCTCAGCTAGGGAATGACTTACGGAAAAAGCAACTTCCAAACTGAATTCTAACACGGATCCATAAACCGCAACCAAGAAATACGGAAGCAACACACCATAAAAAAAAAAAAATCCCTCAAGACACATAAAGACTTGCTAAATACGACGTCATAACAAGAAAAACACATTGAATCGAAGAACAAAGCTCGTGAAGCCAATGGATCAAGTACCTCTCCGAGATAAGGCAGACGGTGACGTGAAAGCAATGGAGGAAGCAGAAATCGAAGAGGAAGGAAGTAAAAGCAGTAACAGAGAAGAGAAAGAGAAATAGAGAGAGAAGCGGGAGATTCCTGAGAGAGAGAGAGAGAGAGAGAATGAAAGAGAGAGAATCTCCAGCCAAAGGATTTAGAAGTTTGATTATTGTGGCGATCGACAGAGGAATTGGCCGTTGGATTTATAATGGGGAAGAAGTGGCCGCTTATATAAGGCGTCCAGATTCAGAGATCGCAGGAACTGGTAAGGAAGGTGTGCGCGTCGCGTTGGGTTGGGGAAGAAAGCAGCAAATTAAACACATCACACTTAGTAAACGGAACGTCACGACGAATAGTCAATGTTCCAACTAAAATAAACATTCCATTTTTCTTTTTCTTCTTTTTTTTTTTGGCCAAGCTGAAAAAATAGCTGATTCCCAAATAATTAAAAAAAAAATACAAATCAATATCATTTTCTTAAATTATTAGCTCTCCTTAGAGTCTGTTTGGTTTGAGGGGAGGGGGGGAGGGGAGGGAGGGAGGGGGAGGGGAGGTTTTATCCTTACCTTGTTTGGTTTGATTAAAAAGGAGGGGAAGGGAGGGTATTTAATGATCCCTTATTTGGTTCAAGGAGGGGAGGGGAGGGATAGTAATAATCAATTTACCATTTTACCCTTACATATTAGTTTATGTTTTTTATTGATATATTATATAAATTAATTTACATCTTAATTTAAATTATATAATTTAATAAAAATTCAGTCTTATCATGTTAATATGTGTATTAAAAAATTGGTATAGTAATTTTTTATTCTAATTAATATAATAATATATTTAAAATAATCAAATTAACAAATTTTATATGCTCTAAGAAAAATGAAATTTTATTTTCTTTAAGCTATCTTTTTTTCAGCTTTAAAATATATTTAATAAATAATATATTTATAAAAAACAATTAATTTTATATATTATAATTTTTTATTTAAATAATTTTTTATTTTAAATAATTTTTATAATATATTTTTAATTATAATAATGTATATATTTTTTATTTTTTACTTAGGATAATATATTTTTTATTTGAAATAAATATTATAATAATATATTTTATGGGTAGAAGTGGAATATTAAAAAAACCATAAGGGCATAATGGTCCAAAATTTTGACTCCCCTCCAAAAACCCCCAATTTGGAGGGGAGCCAAAATGGGGAAGGGGAGGGGAGGGGAGGGGAGGGGACATTTTAGCTCCCCTCCCCTCCAAAAATTTTAACCAAATGAGGGGAGGGGCTCATTTTCCCTCCCCTCCCCTCTCCTCCCCTCCAACCAAACAGGGGGTTAGATAGCACGCGTCTGTGTGTTCTTTTAGCATTTTTAAAAAATGACAGTTAGTTGTGAAAATACCAGTTTAATGATAATTAGGTCATAAAAAATTTAAAAAATAATTTGTCACTAAGAACAGATGAAAATGGAATTATAGCTGCAATTTCTTTTCATAATAAAAAAAATTAAGAGTTATATTTGAAACCTAAATATTTGATTTACAATTGAGACTCCAAAATTTATAATAGTATAAGTTTTTATTTTTAATTGATCATAGGAAAAATTTTATCAAGAACTTAATTATAATTAAATTGATATTTTGGAACCCTTATATTTTAACTGTTTTTCTTTTTGGCGCATAGCATGATAGAAAGCTTTAAACCGCAGCATATTTGTCTTGCATAAAATTTTATACTACTAGAAGTTACAAGTTCAAATTCAGATAACTTATCAATAGTAAATTGTTGTAAGAACCAACAGTAGTATATTGCTCATTGAATATAATTATATAAATACTTAAACAGTACTACCTTTATCCTTAATATAAAACCTTATTTGATTTTTATTTTGGTCCTAAACATAAGACCTCAATCCACTTTGTCTCTCATATTTATGCATTTTTTCTAAGATAGTCTTTTAACAATAGTAGTTCTATCCAATACGCTTGATTAAGAAGGATATTTTAGAAAAAACAATATATGTGTATTACAAATAACTAACTTAATGTCTTTTCTTAATCTCCTCAAATTAGTTAAGTAACTCTTATAATTAAGATTGGAGGTAGTATTGTTTGTGTGAGATTCTACATATATACAGATAGATATTTTAAATATTATTTCCTAAATGATAGGAACTAACATAACCATAGTACATTAGTACTTATGAAAGATCAAACCGACAATCTTGTATTTAAGAAATAATTGAAGAAAATATTTAGTGTTATATAAGACCATTAACATAGATATATAGATATATATACACACACATTATTTTTATATCTTTTAATAAGACTAAATAATAAATTACTACTATAACTTTAACAAGTATGATTAAAAAATTCAATGCCAGTTTTCTTAATAATTAACATGCTGATCCATTAATTAAATTCAATGGACATTTTGATGTTATTATTTACTCTCATTCAGTCTGAGAAAAATGATGGTGTATCTGAAATGGAAAACTCAACTTGCCAAAGGCTTTTAATTAAATATGATTTATTATTGTCCATTTCTTTCCCTATTGAAGCCTTAAAATGTTAATATTAGGTCATTTTCTGATTTCCCTTGCCTTTTCTTATTGTCCATCTCCTCTTTATTATCGAATAGAAACTTTTATTTTTCTGAAATATATTAAGTAGTTTGAGAGAGATTTTCTGGTAATTAATAATGAATATTTTGAGGAAATAAATTAAGTTATGATGGGTCAATCAAGGAATTATTATTGTTTTGTTGGTTTTTAAACTTTAGATGTTAAAGACAAAGATTGGTAACTCTTAGGAAAACTATATGCCGTCAATAATAAATTGACTTTGCCTCTGTAAATTATTCATTTACAGTGATAGTGAATTTCCTTTTTGAAAAGGATTTTATTTGGAGCTCACCAACCCAAGGCAGGCATATAAAAATGTTTATAAAAATATTTATAAATTAACGTGAATGAGATGTTCATCTTCACATCATAATCTAAATATTTAATACTTTATCTCATACTTAATATAAAAATTAGATAATTAATTTATGGACATTAAAAAATTATTTAAATTAATATTTGTACAAAAATATGTTAATTTTATTAAAATACCCTCTTTAATAATCCATATTAAAATTTGATGAAAACTCATTTAATATATGCAAGCAAATAGGAAAAGTTTGGAGAAAAAAATTATAAATATAAGAGATAAGAATATTGATATCTTATATTTAAAACAAAAACAAAGTCCCAAATTAATTTTTATATTTATAACCGGAATGATTAATTTTTTTCAAAATAAAATAACTAGGTCAAGTTTTTTATATTTATTTTATCAAATTTTTTAATAACGCATGGCCATGTGTCATTTTTTTCCATGTCAATTTATAATTAAAAAATAATATCTCAAAAACAAAACATACGACTATGTTGAATAATGAATATTAAAATTTTGATGTAAGTATTATCTACATTTTAGGTCAAATCTAATCACCATGTTTTTAACTGTTACACTGTTTAAAGTGATAACACATTGAGCTGTCAAAACACCCAAATAATTTTAACGATTCATTTAATTGTCAAATATCCATCTTATCCACAAAATTTATTTAATTATCCCCGCACTAAATGAGATGTAATACAAAAAAAAAAAAAAGGTATGAGTATTAGGCATCACAGAGAATGAATCTCATATTTACTAATACAAGTGAATTAACACTAGTTGACAAGAACAAAAATCTACATATTTAACATTATATAATCACAGTACTTATTTCTAATTAAATTAAGATAAATGGATTTATTAGGCATTATTTTGTTCCATGACTAACTCTTATTATTAAATAACAAGACTATTATTAGACAAATGATACTAAAGCCACTTGCTTGAACTTTTAATTTAGTTTGACTGGAAGAAAATATATTCAATGTATAAGGTTTTTTTTTATGAAAAAAATATTAAATGTATAAGTTTAAACAGCGAAGTTTTCATATAATAATTGAATTTATTGGCAATCCTTTCATTTTTCTTTTCATATTTATGTTCTCTCCTATTTTGACCTTTTCATGTGATTAACGTAATTATAGCCATATGTCACCGCTATAAGTTAACGAAATTACTAAATAATATAGGCAGATAAATAATTATGATATCGAAATGTGCAGATTTTCTTGCAGTCCATATTTCCAATAAAGGAAAAAAAAATCCTTCGAAAAGTTGAAGGGAAAAAAACATAAATTAACAAAAATTTGCGATATTACATTTAAAAGCAGAACGAACCCTTCTGATTATTTTTATGAGAAGGACTACAACTTAGAAGCAGAAAATAAACCCTCCTGATTATTTTTATGAGACTACAACTTAGAAGTAGCTCTAATCTTTAGAAGCATTATGATTTAAGATCTTTTAATATAACTTTAATTAGTTTAAATAGTATTTCTCCAAATTCTAAAGGGCATCAAAGCCCCATTATAACAAAACTGAAAATGTATGGTCATCTTGGTGGTTTTTTTTTTTGCACTATAAATTTTGCACCTATTTTTTTAATAGAAAATTTGAACTTACATTATACTACCTCCGGTCCTAATTATAAGAGCTAGTCGAGTAATTTGAGGAGATTAAGAAAATAAGTTAAGTTAGTTTTTGTAATAAATAGGTGTTGTCTTTTCTAAAATATCCCTATTAATTAAGTGTATTGGCTATATCTATTATTATTAGAAGAACTATTTTAGAAAAATAAGTATAAATATGAGAGACAAGTGGATTGAGATCTTATATTGAGGATCAAAATAAAAATCAAACAAGATCTTATATTAAGGATCGGAGGTAGTATCATTAATCATTATTATTTCCTTCTAGTAAAAACTGTAACTCATTTTTTTTTTGGCCGAAGTAAAAAAGCCACTCATTATATAATTTTTTTGGCTAAAGTATATATTTGGTTTTTTAACTTTGTACAAGGTTTTAATTTGGTCATTTAACTTTAAAAAGCATACATTTAATCTTTTAACCTTAAAATCATTAGGCTTCAATAATAATTTTTTGTAATAATCATGAATTTTTTGAAAATTAAATTTAATATGTTAATATTTGAGAATATTTTATTAACATCTAAGATTTTAATGTCATTATTTGTTAAAAAATTTTTAGGGTTAAATGACTAAAAGTATACTTTTTAAAGCTAAGGGACCAAATTGAAATATTGTACAAAGTTAAAGAACCAAATGTATATTTTAGCTTTTTTTTCCTT